AGCCATCACCACCATAACCTTGATGCTGGCCACCGCAAGAGCTATGCCTAAGATTATCTTGTACAGTCCCACTTTCGCGCCAAATATTATTGCTAGGTGGGCTGTAACAAACGAAATGTTTTACAATTATTGTGTTAATTAACCAAGAGAATTGTACGATAGATATTTCTGTCATCATAGTGCGAGTCGAGGTGAGGAAAAATCTCCTTAAACCATATGAGGAATAATATTACAACTACAATACAACGATACATCTATCAACAATCCTTAAATAATGCACCTATTCTAATTCCCTTGTTATGCAAATGATAGAATATTCCTACATAAGTATTAATTTTCACAAACAAAATTCCAATAACGAATTGAGAATATTCCGAACAGTGTATAATTTAGAAGCCAATTTTGGGATATAATCCTCATACATTTGAATTTAATATTCTAAATCTATTCGGTGACACATTGTCATATGTAACGCGCATTCGATTACCAGATGCTATCATTTTCGAGTAAAAAGCCTACGTACAATAGCTGACATCGGAAATGGGGTCATAAACCGCATCGTGTTTCCGGTGCGAGATATTACAAGCCGTATTTCAGCTACGTTAGGCAGAAAATCGCATATCAAAGGGTTTCATCCCCGCTGTAGGCAGGTAGTTAGCGTTAAAACGAAAGCGGCCCGGAGAGCATCGCACAATGATTGAAAAACAACACTTAAGGGAATATCTGATTTTCCTTGATCACATTCGATTTAAAAACAAGATTATTTGCAGATAACTTCACAGACATGTAAAATAATTTAGTAACACTTTAAAGTATCTGTACAAAGTAAATTGGTTTAAGATTTCGCTCAAATTCGTCAAATTTTTAAGGAAATATTTTAGGAGACTTAACTCAAAGCCAATATCGGGATCGGCTTCTAACGTAAACCTAGCTGATTATAACAAACTATTTTTTAAAACAAATATTTTTATTCAGTCTTCCACTTTGAATACTATTCTTCAGTAACATATTTAGAACGTAAAAAAGCCATATATCTAGGTAAAACTTACTCAATAAAGCGTATTTTGCCTTCCCTCTGCCTTCCACATCTTTGTTCTCCGCGTCTTCGCAATTGACCAAACTCACGAAGAGTATCACAGACAATATTATAATCCGATTCATTTTTTAATCCTTAGCAGCTTACTGTGGTTAATCCGTTTAAAATACGGTCAAAGTATCGCTTTTTAAGCAACAAGTACACTGGTCAGTAAACCAAACTGTAATGCCGTATCAGTTGTAAGCAATTCCAAGTTTCAAGTTGTGATAATTAAGTGATAATTGTAAAGTCAACGTGAAAGTGTCGTGTCTATTACGTAAAGGTAAATTTTCGCGTCATGTTTAAGAAGTTATGAATTTCACCTCTTACTTAATAATATATTTTTCGATGTAACTGAAATGTTAACATTACATTTTGTAGCGGAAGTATTTAGGGATAGTGTTTGCTTGTTTGAACATTACGCGCTCATTTTATTGGTTAAAACTGGAAACAACAGTGTTCATGGTGTCTTCACTTTCCTTTTACTAATACACCTACATTACCGTGTCCTGTAACAATCAGTAAATGGTTCAGGTAATATTTTAAAGATCCTTTTTACTAGCTTTCGCCCGCAACTCTATCCGCAATGAATTAAGTAGCCTATGTGTTCTTCCTATCTACGTTCAACATAGGTGTCAAATTTCCGTCAAATCGAGATCCGTTTAGCAGTTTAGGCTACTAACTCCAACAAATATCCATCCACAACTTTCCCAATTGTAAGATCATCATCATCACCAGTTCACAATACGTCTCTTCTGAGAGGTTCGGAGCCTACCCTAAGTTAGGGCGTCTCAGCCATAGTCATATGATTATTATTAGTAAGATTACGTTGAGAAAAGCCTTCTTAATTGATCACTAAACGTTGAATACATCCATTGTCTACGAAATAAACTGTAATCATACGTAGCAAAGCTCGTAAACGCAAACTGCTCATTATCTGCTAGAATAAACAGACACGTTTCTTGTAATAGCGCGATACAAAACCATTACATGTACAACAAAAAAGCTGTTATGAACAACAAAAACTGATACTTTTTATTATAACTAACCTTTAAATTGAATAAACAGATTATAGTTTTTTTTTAACTCGCAGAGAAAAAAGTTTTTACCCTAGCACCCTTTTATTAGCTTTTTATTTTCCCTGTCTTACATATTTATTTTTCTATTACCACTTTCAAGAGGGTCACAGAGAACATCATAAATCACACGCTTATCTCTATTTGAAAATAAAATCTCTTCAGCTAAAAAGGTCTGAGATGTATAATTTATCATTTTAAGTGGACACAACAGAATTTGCCCGATTTTGTCTCTTTCATATAAATTATATTAAGTTCTAATTTATACTCGTATATACCAATGTTATAAAGAGGAAAGATTTGTATTTTTGTATGTATTTAATTTATGTGAAAACCATTGGACGGAATTTAAAATTCTTTCGCAATTAGAAAGGTTATTTATATGTGAGCACCAGACTACTTTTTTCAAATTTTATTCGAACAAAGTCGCGAGCAACAGCTACACTACAACATACAACTAAGTAAGTAACAAATAATTTCATTAAAGATTTTCCCGGATGCAAAGCGAAAATGTTTTTTTATTTTACTTTGAAAGAGTTGACAGTAATAAGTATGTAAAAGTCTCAACAAGTTCATTTAATTTACGTTCGTTTTACGACTCTCCGAGATAATTTACTGTTTCCATTTATTTATTAAGACGTCGTAAATTTTATTCCATTCAAGCACTACCTTAGTTCTTTCCGCCATTTGTTTCTAGGAAATAAAATATCTTCGACGGCTATTTTCACTCTAAAATTCTACTAATAAAGTTCTACATGTATTGTTTTTTTATAATCGTACTGATTGTATTAATAAAACGTTTTTTAAATTATTTTTTTAATAATTTAAATAAACTTGGACTTGATAACCGAAAAGGCGACGCATCTTAATATGGGACAATTGCGATGGGAACTGGGGACTGTGCACTACAAAGCGTATTGTAAATTCACTTTAAATTTTAAAACACATACATGCGTTTCCTTGGATAGTAAGCGTAGTGTTTGTAGCCAATTTTCCTGTCCGCAATCTTTAAATAAATTAGTAGTATTACTCGACATTATTGTTAGCAACAAGATATAAAAAATAATGATAGAGTTTAATTTCCTTGTATATTTTCTGCATACACTTCTACTTTTAAAAACCGTAGGAATTGACATATTTTTCGTTGATCTCAAGTAGTAAAAAAAATATATTTATTATCCTTAACAGAGGTTTGGAGTAGATCTATGTCGGAGAATGGACTGACATATGCTGTAATGATAAGTTATAATTATGGTATTTTAAAAATATGTAATGTAACAACAGTCTATAGATAGCAGAGGATGTAAAGCAATGTTTTATGACAGTGTCGTCGTCCATCAAACCCTTTCCAGCGCAAGTCATTTGTCAAACGGCGGGTGGAAAAAAGAAGATGCGCCTACAATCTATCATTTTATCGTTAGCTGTGTTACAGGACGTATAAAGTGACGGTGACACACAAAAATAGTATTTCTCGAAATATTTATTTTTAGAAAAACTGTTTTTAGACCTAAGTCTAATATTCGATATATCTATTGACGTGTTGTTAAAAAGTTGATCTTATCACATCAATATCGAGAGACAGTAACGCTAATAAATCTGTACTCTCTTTTTCTTTTAACAGTGGTAGTGCCCGCTTTAACATCTTAGCACGAATGGGCCGGCACGCCCCCAGTAATACCACGACCACACAGAAGACAGGCGTGAAATGGAAACAATGCCGTGTTTCGTCTGATGACTGTGGTGCCGCAGGCCTAATTTAAGTCCCTTTCTCTTTACAACCCTTTTCTTATGAGAGGATGGAAATGGGAAGTGGATTTGACGATGGAGGAGATGCATAGGAAGAGGAAATATCCTCTTTATTTTTTTCTTCTCCGTCGGATAAGGGTAGGCGACGCATCTGCAATTGCAGATGTCTATGGGCAGCGGTCGCTTCGCCATTTTGGCGGAATTAGAAGGCCGCTTTCTCGTTTGCCATTTTATGTTATAAAAAAAAAATTCTAAAGGAAATTTCTCAAACACAATAGCTTTGTATTGCATAAAGAAAAGCAATTAACTTTATTTTGCTTTGTTAACCCAAAAATGCAACGTAGTTCGCCTACAAATCTGGAGAACAAAGAAAAATTTATTACAAGACTAACCTTTACTGAAAGCTTATATTTCTTAGCTTCTCGAAACTACTGCATTTTCACAGACTTTACGTGCTTAAAGTTGAATTTATTTTTCAGATAAACATTACCAGAAAACGATGAGTCATACTTTAACTGACTTTTTGGGCTTAATATCTTATTTACTTTCGATATAATACAAAGTAATACAAACCTGAATATAATATGAAACGTAATTTTAATTTTATATGAAGTATTTTTGTTTTATGTTCCTCCTTAAGCGACCACATCGTGATTTACAATCTCTCTAGTAACGGTAGTGTTCGTGAGGCCGGTGAATATCCCAGCTTTATGGGAATTATGCTGCATAATTTATTCACATGCTCGAAAGCCCAGAAAGTTGGTCATAAATTTTAAATACAAGAAAATGTACGGCGTAGCCTCGCCTGCGCCTCGCCTGCGCCTCGCTAGCGCCTCGCATGCACGCCGCAAGCCACATGTATTACAAAGATAATATTTTCCCCTGCGCTTCCTTTAAATTTCAAAGTTTACGTTAAGTTTGCTCATTAGGTATGCTAGAGCACAAAGAGGAAGAACATGCTTTAAGTTAATAAGTTTTTATGAACTCACGTCGGTATTTTGAATAGTGAGGCTGTAACTTGCTATGAAGATTTATGTTAAGAAAAAATTTGCATATTCTCTGATTTGTAGACATTTATTGGCAAACGAAATATTAGAATATATTTATCCCATAAGCTTAGGATCTCTAGATAGAAGACTGTTAAAGAATCTCATATTTCTAAGCTTGTACCTAAATCGACCTTTCTTCTTTAAGCGGCCCATATGCTGTAACGTTCTGACGAGAGGCAAAAACCTATACATTGCATTTAACTCATCTCCTAAACAAAACATGAAGGACGACTCTATGTAGGAGGAGCTAATAGCCGTAGGACTTTTATCCTCCCAGCGCATCTTACATTGTGCTACGTCCATAAAGCAATGGTTCTGGAACATCAGAGAAGGTTCTCGAGCAACGATGCCTGGCACCCCACACACAGGTGCATACGTATCTGGACATTTTGTAGGACATTTATGGAAACACGAGGACAAAGTTGGACTGTGTAGATAATCGTCGGTAACATTAGATGGAATTGTAGTCCAAGGTTGAAATACTTTAACAGGCCCGGCGATTTTGATTTGTCTTCTTCGTGTAATCTGATTAACCAAATCGGGCGATACTTCGCGCATTGGCATATCAAGAACATGAGTCGCTGCAAAGAATGTTTCAATAGTGTCATTGATATTATTTTTGTAACCCAGCATATTAGCGTCTATAACAACAATGTTGTTTAATATATCTTTTCGTTCTACGTTAGGTTTTATTGCATCATTGAAGCTAACCAAATCATTTGATAATGTAAAATCGCAAATAAACAAATCTGTTTCCACAAATTCGGATTTCGTTTTACAATTGTGCTTCTTAAATTCACAATCATTTTCAAATATCCTAACTTTATAACCAGCGCCATGTTTTTTAAGTCCACAAATTTTTGTGATATTACTCGTTAAAGTACAATTGAGTTTAATGCATTGATCTGATTTCAATTTATGCTGCTCTTCTACAATTTCGTTATTAAGATCTGCATTTTGATAATGGTCTTCTATGAAAGCTTTTTTACAGTAATCTAAATTGATAATACCATAAGTTTTATCATCGTCTACTTTGCAACCGTATTTCAATAGCTCACATTCACTTTCAAACAATTTTAATCGATAACCATCAAATTCTTCGCGTATACCACAAACTTCTATATTTGGCCATTCATCGCAGTTAAGGTTTTGACAGAATTCAAATTTCTCTATGTCTCTTTTTTCTGATTTAACCGCACAAATCAACGTGAGCAAAACGTAGTAAAAACCCATGAGTGTATAATGTGTAAAGTAACGGTTCGTAATTATTTCTTTATAGGCATATAAATTACAGCTCTTATAAACATTACCATGAAATTGAAAATTCAATATGCAACATACATTTATTCGCTAAAAACTCCTGAGTCTCAGAATAATAACACAATATTTCTTCAACTTAAGGTCCTTATTTTAATATAAAATGTACAGTGAAAATAAATGATGACCACTAGTATCTTAAACTATAATTAATTTTACTTTAGTATCATTTTGCATGTTTTCGCTATTTGTTAAGTTAACGTCCTTTAAATCCTTTCAGTGCAATCCCGTGCAATTGTATTCCATCTCAAGCTCCGCATCTCCGTAAAGTCTGCAAGAAACAGTCGTTACACCGAATAATTTATACGTCTCGCCCAAAACATCTCTTAAATTGCTTTTAAAAGTCAATTAGCGTAACAGACTGAAAACCTATGAGTATTTTGAAACAATTTTAATGAAAACCCTTTTACAAGCAAACTTTGTTCATATTTAACTTACTGCTACAACAAAAATAAAGTTAACGTCTGTAACTAAACATGCGATTAAGTACTGTCAATTGTTAAAATAAGCATAGAAATATTTCCGTAAAAACAGATGTATTTCCACTAAGTACGAAACGCTTTTGTTATGCAAATTACTTTCATTCTAAATAAAGTGAAAATTTTTAAATGCGTATCGTTTAAACGTCGAGGCACGCTGGCGACGAGCCAAACAAAGCGGCTGTAATTGGCTCCGTACAAGTTCATTAGTTCCAGCTAGAGAAAAGTCCAAGCGATTTGTTTAACATGAGGAAAACAAAGGATCACTTTCCTTTGCACAACAAATACGAACTGTATTAAAAACAGCTTGGTATTCATTAACAGACTCTGCTACAGAACAGATCTTTAACATCGGCTTTTTAAAAATACTTTTAGAAACAGGAAATTTTTGTACCGAAATCTCGAGAGTGTAATTTAAACAAAATTGACAATTATTTGGAAATTAGAAAAGTACAAAATGATAAAACCAGTGTTGTTAGTATTTGTATTGATTGGATTTTGTTATTGTTTGGAAAGCAATGATTTGTTAATAGAAGAAACAAGAGCTAAGAAGAAGAAGAGTTCCGCTAAATTATTGGGTAAGGACATCCTTTCATCGTTTTCCATCAATAATATTGATTACATTATAATAGAGAAAATAGAGCCTTTAGTAACCTTTAATGTTTTTAGGCAATTTCCATCATTTAATCATTTGGCACTAATTTTCATTTCAATTTAATTCATCAAACTTACATTTGAGGAATATTACTTGAATTTAGAAATCTTCCAACCAGAAGACCTGGCTGTCAACGTTGAAATAAACATCCTGAGCATATAACTAGATAAAATATTAAGAAAAGTATTCGCTAGAGTATGACGGGTGTGCTAAGTAATTCGACACGGGCTCGGCATTAGTGTAATCTCAGTGGCGCCGACTGCTGCCTGCTGGAGATAACTAAATGCTCTAATCACGCTCTAAGCCCTGCCTACAGCGGTAATACAGGTCACACAAAAATGCCGTCTGAGATACGCCTCGAAGTTTTAAAGTTATAATACAGGGCAAGGAAATATTCTCAGCTTTTTATTTCGTCTTCATATTTTTTTAAACATTTTAGTGTGTAGGATTACCTAATGTTATTACCTAATTTATATTAATAAATCAAACCAAAGTACACGATTATAGTAAAAAAATAAAAAACATAGTTAAAATTCTTCTACCTCCCTGTTGTGATTCTGTCTCATATAGTGATTCTGTCTCTGAATAGACCAATCGAGGATAGCCAGTTGCGAAAGACCTTTCCCATGATGATATTAAGGTCGATTCTCGGATCAACTATGCAGGTAGTATGTTCTGCTTCATAATCAAATACTATTTCCTTTTGCAGGTATGATCCTCCTGTTCATTTTCTCAAAAGTGGCGATATTCAAAGCAGCATCAGTCTTCTTTATGATGGCGTTCTTCCAGAAGCTCTTCTATCTGTTCGGTCTCTTCATCAACTACTTCCTAAAGAACAAATCGAGTAAGCCCGCACCAGCGCCCGTGTATGGCGCACCTTCAGACTACAATACTGTTGGGTACAGCTATGGGCCTCCGGAACATGAGAGTCATCATCAAGAATCTGGTTATCCAGGAATATCGGAATTCGGTGGAGCGTTTGACTGGCTCGTGCATAAAAACGTTAAATGATAATAAAATGTGTTTTTTATATTCTGGATTTTTACTTTCTTTAAATTTAAAGGTCCGACAAACCAATAAATCAAATTATCTTTTAAGTTTAATAAAACTTTGTCAAATAGTTTTAAACTAAATGTCTATATAAAGTTATGGCTTTTAGTTTTTATTATAACTTTGAAGTAGCCATCTTTTTACTGTTAGTTTCACAAACTTGTAGAGGATGTTGTGCCACCTGGCGGACTGCTGTAAAACTACTTGAAACCGCGCCGTGTTCTTTCTACAATTTAAATTAGATTCGTGATGCATTTTGACGTAAAAGTTTCATAGAAAAAAACCTTTAAAACATTTAATCTATGAATAGAACATAACCCAAAACGCTACCACCCAGTGCATTAGATACTTGGAATAGCAGTGAACTGACTTTAGCTGAATCTGATTGTTAGAGATGTAATTAAGTCGCAAGCTGGCCAGCTGGCGTTAGCTAGCTCAGATTTATAGCCGCTTCGCCGGTTAGCTAACTTATTCAGTTACAATCTTGCCACGAGGTAAATTGGCTTCCGCGAAACGACAATTGCAATATTAAACAACTAGAAACTGACACAATAGTTGCAACCGACAATACCACTGTTAAAAATTTATGTATATTTTGTCAAAATATGTGTATTCTTGTTGTAGAAGTGACTGTCACACTTATATTGATAATAGATGAGTGATTAATCTAAAATGAACAAGAAAATTATAAATAAATCCCATTTTATGCAGCATAAAACAAAGTTTATCAAAGAAAGTGTGGCAAGTAGCGCGGCTTGGGCGGCGAGAGTTTACAGACTCGGCCCCGCAGCTGGCGCGGCTTCAAACTTTTGCCGCCGGCGGAAAAAGCAATTTTAAAAAATACCACTTTACCAAACGTTTGACGTCGAGTGAAGTATCGATACGAAACTCTCGAGTTCCCATCACTGACGGTTAAAACCTCTGATTACGTTCGTGAAATATAGTTTCAACGCGGATTTTTTTATTACCGTGTAATATTTAACATTTTATTTCAAAAACTCTACAAACACTTATTAGCTAAGACATGAGGGCTATAAGTATTCGACAAATCTCTTTACCTTAGCAATGTATTTGAGAAAATCATGATAATGTATGCAAATGCAAATCGATAATAACAAGATTTAGGTTCCACTCGGATGTAATAGCAGATGTAACCGCAGCGAGGCGGTGCTTTAAAGTGCTCGGTGACTGCGAGCGAACAGTGGGCGTTATTGAAGACGACTGGAGAGTACTAAGGGATTCCAGTTCATTTATTTCCACCAAGGTTCTACTTCACAACTTACGTATAGTTGATCCCTTAACTACTTTAGATTCAGTTTATTGTATTTTGGAACTCAAATGATCGTATGCATTAAATGAAATGTCCCAGATCTATGTACCCTGAGTAAGACCCTGATTGGCTGAAAATTTGTTTCTTTTAGAAGCATTTAATTTTGAATATAACACTTCATATTCTTATATCATTGATTTTTTGTACTTCCATAAAACCATTCGTATCTGTACTGTTCTGAATTTCTGATATCAGCTAGCAGCTACTCGATTGGCATATTTGAATTACAAATGGTAGGCTTCGTAACACCATTACGTCACGAGTAATTGAAGTATGCTGCCGATATACGGATTATGAATATATCAATGACAGCTGAATATTTAATTTTAACAATCATACAGTGTCACATATAATAAACTAGTCTTTGAATGTTCCTACTAAGTTTAGTAGAGAACTATAAGCAAGTTTAAACACACTTTTCCAGCCTTAATTTCTTGTATCTTTAAATATTATATCTGGTTTCAATTTCTGGAACACAATAGATATTTGAAACAAATTCCTCGGTCCGCAGGATGTCCGCCTCGTTAACAATAATTTTATTATGAAACGTTAAAGATTCCTCTCGTCTTCTAAGAAATTCAACTTATTATTTTTTCTTAAATGATAAGGAAAGAGAATGATTTAGAAAAATAAGATACTTTTGTAGTCAAACAAAGAAATTTCACTGAACAATATTTTAAAGTTCATTTTATGTCGGAATCGTGGGAGAAAATTTATTGCAAAACCCGCGGGATGTTCGAGAAACAATAAATGTTTGCGCTGGACATCTGCCAGGAATTATTTGCTATACTTCATACTGGAGTATAATAAAATGTTTTATTTATCTGTAAACAGTAAGCTACATGTATATTTGTAGGTAACGTAAATGTTTTAACATATTTTTGTGTAAGAGTTAACCTGAATTTACAAACACAAGATATAAATTTTCTTTACATGACTCGTTTATTAAATCAAAAACTTTTATATTAAAAAAGATATCTTAATAAATTATGCTATTCCCAAAAAGTAATAAAAGATTGCACAATTCTTAACCACTTGCCAGTTGTATTATATGAATAAATAGTAAAGTTGAGATTATTTTGTAAGTTTCGAACAATTTGAAAGCATTCCGACCGTGTCGTAAATACTCGACCTGAAAATGTTCAGCGTCTCATTTCCGAACTTTATTCAGGCAGCTCTCACTCAGGCCACTGAAAATTTAACTGAAACGATTCAGACCATTATTATTTTGTCGACTTTGTGATGTTCTTTCCAGATTTTAAAATATTCTGCCGGTTTTTACATTTACTTTACGCTTATTCACTGAACCCTACAATGATTAGATTTACATGAAAATTTTACGACAACACAAAACTCTACAATTATTAAAGTATATGAGAAAACACAAGCGTACAAATATTAAATTAATAGCAAGCAATAAATATTAATAACAATGTTACAATCTAACTCACCAAGTTTCGGCCTTAACCAAATATCTTACGCATCGATGCAGTACTTAGC